GTCCTCTGGTTCTGCCCCCTCCACTCACTCAGCTCCAGACTGCAAGGAGAAAGGGAAAACAACTGGTTAATAAGGAAACGAATTTCCTACATGCCAAACAGAAGTCAGTAAAATAAATGACTTCCACTGAGAGTTGGGGTCCCAGTAGAATAAAAAAATCCCAGCATTTTATTTGTTTCTATCAGCTGGCACTGCACATAAAACACCAAAACAAGCCCACGAGGTAATTAACACATAATTCTGGCAATGACCTTGGAGACTTATGTAGGTTACATCGCAGGCTCCCTGCAGAAATCTAAACGAGGCCTTCCACTGACATAAAGCTTCCCTCTAAAGTAGCTGAGAGTTATGTGTAATCAGCTTACTTGGTAGTCATTTACGATGAAAAAACAGTATAATGATTAGCACAATGATTATGCTTCCATTAAACAAAATCTAATAAATTCTGATAATGATGTAATATGAAACGCTCCATGGGATTACATTAACTACTCGCTTTGCTAAACAAAGTGAGGTTAAGTGAAACTGGACCATTACTCATTCTGTTTGCAGACGTCACAATAAACCCGTGGTAAACAAATAAATAAATAAAACTTAACTATACTACAAAGCACTATTGTTGCCTGGATACCATGTCACGGCAGTCTGTATCACGTAAGGAGTTACATTACATCAGTGGGCTTAACTTCCAGCATTGTCAGTCACTTCTGAAGAGAATACTTGCTGTGTGATAATCTTATTTAACTTTGGCCTTTTCCTGCATGACTACAATACCTTTATTTGTAGATTTTTGTGTTGGAAACAACAAATTTCATGAAGTTTTTCAGATTTATATTCAACCAGATTGGTGGAAGAAAAGACTAATCATGACGCAGGTAATACCAATAGACCCATCAGACGTGTTACGTAAAATAAAAACAACACAGGGAGGCGAGTTTCAAAGCTGCTCGGCCTGTTCAGCAAAGGGAAATGCATTCGAGGACTCGCTAAGAGTGGAATGTCTCTTTAAGAGCGGGCTGGTTCAAATCCCCGTCTCATCTCAACAAAGGTCCATTGTGCAAGCTAAAGTTTTTCCTTTACTCCTCTTTTGTCCCACCCACCCACCTTTCGCTCACCCACCTGTGGTCGATGACAGTCACGAGGTCGTTGGGCAAAAGTGTGAGCTTTCTGGGTTCTGCAAATTCTCTTATTGCTTGCACCTCTCTGGGTTTAGCCTGTGGAGGAAGACAGGAAAGAATTGATGTGACATGCAGAAAAGTGCGCAGACTTTTAGGCATATTCGTGAGGCAAGAACAGCAATCTCTTCTTTGATTTTTTTTTAAATGAAAAGGACAAGAAAAGCTTCAGACCTCCGCCACCATCGCAGTGAGCTGGGCAAAGCTGGGTCTGTCTGCAGGATTGCATGCCCAGGACTTTCGCATTACAGCGTATAGCTCCAGAGGGCAATCAGGTGGCTTCTCCAGGCGTTCGCCCTCCCGCTCTACCCGCCATAATATCTAGTTGAAGAGTGAATGTCAGTGATGCTAACACACTGAGTCATAGAGCATGCCAGAAAAACAAACAACATAAGG